TTTTTTTTTTTTTCTTTTTTAAAGCCTCAAATGAACTAAAACAGGTGTGGACGGTAGTTTTAAGAAACTGAAGTAAACAGTGCATTTGATGACTTTTACTTCAGCTGTGTGGATTAATACACATTTGGTGCTCTAGTGAGCGTTTTCTGGCAGCAAGACGGTGTGTGTGTGAGTCTCACACACAGTCAAAATAAACTACAGGGTGTGTGTTCATGTTAATGAAGGAACATGTCACCCAGTGCAGCAGTGATGTGTTTTTAAACAACAATGGAGCTCTATGGCTCAGAGGAATGAGATATATGAGGCTTTGGATACACACACTTGTTAGTTAGATTAACTTATTGTTAATTTTTTGTTGCCAGTAATTAAAAAAATAAATGCATAAATAAATAATCTTGTGCTGAAAAACTATTTTTCAGTCCTCTCAACCCTCAAGGTTTTTATTAACTCTCTCGAAAACCGAATACAGAGCGACACCAATGAAAACTAAAATTGTCAGGGGCAGAAGGAAAAAGGCCTGTGGCTCAAAGAGTGGGGGAGTTCACCGCTGAGTTATTAGTAGAGGTGATAACATGGTAAGAGGAAGTGCTTGTTTAGCTGTCTGAAAAATATTGGCAGTAGATGTTTCTGCGAAAAGCTGCATATGCACACATAAACAGCTGAACAGGAAGTGACAAGTCATAGTGCCAAAACCTTGAAATAGTCCCACTTCTGCTTTCAGATAGAGAGAGAGAGAGAGAGAGAGAGAGGGGGAGAGAGAGAGAGAGAGAGAGAGAGTTAATGCACAATACTTCCAAACATTCCTAAAAACAGCATCTTGTAATGCTAATTGATAAAAAATTGGTTTTTGATGTGATGATTACTGACATGTACGACATTACTGTATTGAAATCTCTGTAGCAGGCACCATAGAGAAGACACCCACTCTTATTTCCTTGGTGATGTGAAGTGATAATTTACAAATTATGCGAAACCTACTTTGGAAAGAAGCTTGATTATTCATTGAGTTTATAAATGTAAAGAATCTTTCACTTTGTATTTGATCGAGCAGCTGTACTCCATTGGAAACCCCCCCCCACCACTATATTCAATTTTGATTATGTGCAGTATATGTAGATGTGTGTGATATTAATTCTGTTTTTTTTTTTTTTGTGGTGAGGAAACTTGCCCTTCATCTACTCATCACTGTACTTTGTTGCAAGTACCTTCTATTCTTGGGACCCAAATAAATGAAAAAATATTTCCTCTGTAAAAAACTGCCAGACATCAGACTGATACATGTCACAGTTTGGACGCAGTGGAGCAGAGAGAGCACATGAGCATGATTCCTCTGACTCTGAAGTCGAGCTCTGCTCTATTTCCCTGAAAGGTGATTTGTATGGCAAGAACTCAGTCAGTCCTATCTCCTTCCTAGATCACGTACTGTACGGTCAAACAGAGCTGCTACAGCACGATCTGTGGGTTATTGTTTATCTTTCAATCTCTCAAAAAAAGTTTGAATTGCTGTTTCAATCACAAGCAGATTACAGGTTGATAATACGTCTTTTGTTAATCTATATTTGATTTTTAATTTTCCACAAAAAAGTCCCTTTAAAGAAAGTGCTTCTTGAAAACCACCGCAGGAAAAAGTTTCTCCTCCTGACTCATGTCTGAACTCATATCTCTCACTCACCCCAGCACTCCCCAGGTGTAGGATCAGCACATTGGTCAAACAAATGAAAAAGGAAAAAAAAACTTCTCTCTCTCTCTTTTCAGTTTTAGTCATTTCATTTTTTTTTTTACATTTTTTTTTAATTATTACTAAACCAGAAAATCCCATTATTTTGCACCTAAAAAGCCATCTTCTGTTTTTTATTTTCATTGAGTTGTTGGACAACATGAAACGATGCCGCGTTTCAGCCTCGATGATCTCTGCCTTACTGCGTGAGTCAAAACGCAGACCGTGCAAGGGCCTGAAATGGCATCAACGAGTGTGGTGATCTGAATTTTGCTCATGAGAAGTGTAGATGAATTCAGGCTCCCCTCCTCTTCTCTCTTTGCTACAGACCCATGAAAATGTCTACAGATTTCAAAGCCCAGGTTTGGTACATGAGCAAAACTTCTGAGAGATCTGTGGGGCTGTGCAGCCAACATCTAGTGCAGGCTGAAGAAAGCAGAAAAAAAGAGAATCTCGTCTCTGACTTCCTGAACTTCAAAGATGCCTCAGCTTCTCAGCGTGGCCATCTAAAGGCTCAGTGGTGTTTGACCCTGCTCTCTACTCTACTCTGCAGCTTCTTTCACCCTTTCTCCTGTAGAAACCAGGGTTTTGATGAACATTGCAGACCCTCAGAATTCTCTCTAAAAAAAAAAAACACTGTAAAATTACAGTGGGAGCCTGAACCCAGGATGAAAATTTAAGAAGGATTTCGCCTCTGATATTGAAAAACCATCTTTTTCTTTTTCTCAACTCCTCCAAAAATCTCACAGGGAGTTTTTGTTATGTTGCAAAAACAGGCCTCCGTCATTATACACCTTCTTCATGGCGTATTGTGCTGGGTGATTGCAGCTCTGCAGGTCAGGGAGGGACCTGAGATAAAAGCGAGAAAAAACATTTTCATCGGGAGGATTTGAAATTTTCGTAATATGAGGTTTGTGGTTTTTGCGCAACAAGAAAATTTGCTTTTTTGTTGCAAGTGGAAGGATAACACCTCCGCGCCCATTTCACCGATCATGTTATTATTGTGGGTAGTATTTACACAGCTGTGCACAAAAAGTCTAGAAAGTGTGTGCTTTTGTGTGTTGCCTTGTCTTTGGTTTGAAGGCAGGTGGAAAAAGAAGATGCCTTTTAAAAATAAAATTATATTAAATATTTTAATTACATGGCAGCTTGATCACAGTGTGTTTTTACAGAGCAATCTGCCAGGACTGGTTATGTCAAATGGCAGACAGCACACACACACACACACACACACACACACACACACACACACACACACACACACACACACCAAAACAATAAAATACAAATTTGCAACACAAACTACCTCAAACTTTCTCTGCTTTTGCTAAAACTTCACAAAATCCATGCACACCTTCAAATGTGCTTAATGCAACAATGGAGCAATAAGAACCCTGCATTTTTTTTGTTCAAGGTAAATAAAACAATCTCAAGTAGCTACTTTAAAGCATTACTTCAAAAAAATGTAATTTAAGTGCAGTGAGAATAACCCTGACAGCAGGTGTAGCTCCAGTAGTCAACCAGAAAGTAAAGAAAACCATGCAGGTCAAAGGGGAATATTTAGTAAGACTGGAACCTGCAGCTGGCAAATTGAAATTCTTGTAAAACTGAGAATCTTCCAGGTTTAAAAAAACCCAAAAAATGTATTTATAAAAACAGTTTCGAAATTCCGAAATTATTTCTAATTATATTTATCTTTTTTTTTTTTTTGACTCAAGTCACTTTAATGAAAAATGTGGTCCTCAGCTGACAAGCCGAGTGAAGTCAGTGGAAATATCAGTGTCCTCTTGTGTGACAGCGCACTTGTTTTCTGTGCACAGATCTGCGCCATGAGAAACCCGCGGCCTCAAACCTTCTGTCAAACACGAGTGTGGCGTATTAGTGAATTAATCCTCATCGACGTGATGGCTGAGTCTTAATGCTCGGTGACCCATCTAACCCCCCCCAAGCCACGCCACAACACACACACACACACACACACACACACACACACACACACACACACATCCATCCATTTCAGGCGTGGAGCTCCCTGCTCTGCTGAGACCTGCCTCTGCCACACTTTTACTTACTATTTTTTATTCTTCTTATTATCATTTTATGGCCTATCTCAGTTTCACTATCATAGTTTCCAAAGCCGCCGACTCAGTGTGATACAGCGCTGAGGTTCAATTATCAAAAAGTCAGTTTATCGCTTTATCACCTCTTCATTTAAAAATACTTTCAGTCAGAGATAAGTTTGTCAGTGATGAGATTTTTAGCTCATTTATTAAATCACTTCTTTTTTTTTTTCCTAGTAGCCTATTTTGACGAAAATGTAAAACATTTAGGAAAAGTAATTTAACAAGCAGTGTAGCGAACCGCTGCTTCCAGTGGGAATAGAAAGTAAAACTGTGCGTTTTGTCTCTGCAAAGAGAGAAAATGTAATTGATTAGCCTCCTTTTTTGGCGTTCATCTGCTGCTGTGTTAAAGTGAAGGGACCTCAGTGATTATAAAGGTCAAGCACAGGTGTCACAAGTGTTTCCCAGCATCTGTGACTGATGTTGTCTTCATCTTCATTTCTCCATCTTCACTTCTCTGGCTCCTGCGCAAGTTCTGCCCAAAGCGAATTTCGATCTGGTCAAATTTTTTTTTACAGAAAGAACGTTTGGAAAAGCAAATATGCGGTTTACAATAAAATTAATTACATAAAATGCGCTTGTTTTTAATTCTATTCAGACATGTTTTGATTAACTTCTGTAAATGGTTCTGTAAAGTTTCTTGTTAGACTAATTGAATTCCTCATGACTCAGCTCTCAGCAGTTTTGCGCAAAAATAAAGTGTAAACTCCACTTTAATGTGCTAAACATGAGGGTCACAGGTCATTATTATCGCTCTGTCGACTAAAAACTCAAAGCTGCCATCACCCTCGTCACCTGACTAGTGATGTGTTGGTGATACCTGCAGATTTCCGTAGTAAACAGGAGCTAGAACATCAGTAACCCGTGACCTGTATTCAGTGATCCCCATAAGAAGCATGACAAGGATATAAAATGTTATTTAATTCTTTTAAAAAAATGAATTTTGAGTTAAATTGTAAGAAGTTGCTGTGATGTTGGCGGTTGTTTGTCAGACTGGTAGCCTAAATTAGAAAGTGTGTAAAACCAAAAGGACAGCGGTGCGTAATTTGCTCTGCCTTTTCTCAGCCAAAATCAGGCCATACTGGTGGAGAACCAGCTCAGTCTGCAGTTTTACTGGTGTGGAAAAATAAGAGAGAAACTCTGGAGTTATCTGTCGGACTTACCTCCCCTGTTTGGTGATTATCATCTCGGTTTGGAACTTGTGGAACTTGGCCCATAGCGGGTAGTTATTGAGCAGAGCCTGAGTCTTCCCGCTCACCTGTAGCCCAGGTAGAGGGTAGAGAGGCGGCCGCTGGTAACCGTGCTGAAAGCTCGCCGGGTAATTCTCCGGAGACGGGGAGTACACGTCTTTACCGCCCGTAGGAAAGCCGTCTCCTGCCGTCGGGATGTAACCCTGCCCGGCTCCGCTTCTCGGCGGCGACCGCACGCCGCCGTACGGGCAGCTGCTGAGGGTCTGTGCGTAAAACCTGCTGGACTGCGCTCCGTACGCTCCCACCGCCTGCTCCGAGTGGTACGGCAGAGTCAGAGCGTCCTGGCCGCTTTGAACCGAGTCCGGGTAGTAAAACCTCGCGTCCTGAATCCCCATTTTAATCTCGGCTAGATCCTTGCCGCCGCGTTGGAGGTGACTGCTGATGTCGGTGTTCTTTCCGAAAGTTTGCGTTTCAGCCCCATTCAACATGCTGAGGTAGAGGTTGCCACCTATGCCGCCCATTTGCAGCCCCGCTCCCGGTCTGTGCGTAATGTCATAAGTCTCCGCTCTTGTGTCCCGTCAAATAAGAGCATGTACAATAAAAAAATAAAAAAAAAATCACAAAACAACACAGTCTGGACTGTTCTCCTCACCTATGACTGATAGCGCTCTGACATGCCACTAACTTTAAGATGTGGCGTCTCGCTCGTTCAGAGCCTTAACATTCAAATATAAAAACTCATTTAATATAAAGACTCAATGGACTATGTATCTTTAAACTTTCTTTATTGCCCGAGTAGATGATTGTCTTGTCTTTTTTTTTGACGTGTTGAGTCCCTACCAGTGACTCAGACTCGGGCTGACTTCTCTAACCTATGATATATACATTTAGTAAGTGGTCATATTTTGGAGGTGTGTCTGACGCGCAGGGGGGACGTGATAGGCTCCAGATATGAAAGAGGCGTCGCCATCATCACAGAGTAACTTCACATAAATTACACAACACACACGCACACACACACATACACACACACACACACACACACACACACACACACAGAGACACACACACAGACACACACACACACACACTGCCCTTCAAGAACAAAAGGGCTGCAGTTGATTTAATAGATATTTGAATGAATTTTAAAATATCGATAAGTAGGAATACTTGAAAATAACGTCACAGGAAATAAAAAATGACTCGGCACTTGAACGGCACAAAGTTCCATCACAGGATATTTAAGTTAAGATATTTAGTTAAAGGTTAATGAATAATTAATTTTAGCCTACTATGATGTTGTTTTTTTACAGCCGAAACTAAAGACTAACAGAATTAAAACTAAAACATAATTATTTAGTTGAATAATTTAACTACAGCACCAGTTATTCATACAGTGTCTCATACATTAAATTCACTTTATAATTAAACAGCAAAATAAACTGCAGTGTGGTTTATAGCCTAAATATTCCCAAATTTTTCCGACCTGTTTTATCTTTAAAATCAAATATTGAAGAAGATTAATTCGGATTATTAGTTTAGTTTAGTTTTTTTTCCTTCAAATCACTTCTCTTTAGCTTATTGGCCGATTTGAGAGGAAGCTTTGTCTAAATTCGCAAAGCTGTGATTTATCATAATTGAAGTAAGCCATACCTAATTCTGTGAAGCGGCACCGAGGAAGTCGGTTCTTCACTTTTGTGGTCCTTTCTTACCATAAATGAGTTGAGAGGTTGAATCATCAACCAGATTTAATTTTCATTTTCCATCTGAATCATGAAACACCTCAGAAACACCTCAAAAAAGTTTTTTCAGTTTTAACACGCCTCTGCAGGAGGAACAAAGCCAGTGGCTGCATGTGTAGGGGTAAGTATTACATGTCTACATTAATAAGGTATTTCAGTTATTGCTGTTATAGGTGTATGGAGTCATAAAATGGAAATTCATGCAAAATAAAAGAAATGCCATTTGTACATGTATTTTTTAGGAGAGACTAACTGTTTTTTTTAAAGTGAATTTTCAAATTAAAGTGCTTTGGGTCAGGACTTGACCCTTCATTTAAATTCACATTGACAATAACGATTACTGTATGTCTGGCTTTTTATTTGTTATGAACACCCATGTGTGGATATTCATGCCAGCATGTGGTGTTAATACATTAATACTAATGAAATGATATGCATTTTGGGCACGTACAGAATATGTTGATTTAGTTGAAGTGGATTGTTTCTTTCTGAGAAGTCAGGACCTGTCCCAAATGTGTCAGCAGTGGAGAACAAACTTTTCATGTCCCATAGTCAGAACAGACATGAGGAGACCCAGATGATGTTACTCCCAGCACAAACCAGGTTTATTCACCACAAGCATGTTTATTAGCATGTTTATTAGCGTCTTTAAATGCTCCTGAATGTTGGACTGAGCAGGAATAAATGTATAAACTTGATACAGAACTTACTTTGGATGAAAGAAGTTGTCATTTGTGGTGGCAGAAAGCGTCAGGTAAGGTTTCGGGACCAGTCAAATATGCAAAATGAACTTTCACAAACATTTACTGTGATTGTCAAAGCGTGTCTTTGTGATGTCATACAGGTTACAACCAATCACACATCATCTGGATGAAAGAGAAAGTGGTTCAGTGAAACAGTGAAGCAGCATCCTCTCCGCTCTTTGAGACCTTTCAGTGGCTTGTTTGGACGTCGCCGGTCACTGGTCAGCCAGCCTGGACAGAGGATCTGCTCCATAAACACAGATGAAACAGATAACCCCGAGGTATTAGCAGCTGCATGTGCATGTGAACGCGCACACATTAATAGATGAAACCCCCCTCCAGTGCAGGTATGACACAGTTATCCCCCCTCGACACTGTCACTGCTCTAATCCCACTTCCTGCGTCTCTTCTAGCAAGGTGAGCTCACAAGGGCACACGCTGAAGTCATCAGTGTTGACACGGGTGGCGAGAGGGGCCACAGTGTGAGCGACACTACGGCCGCCACGGCCAGCCAGGCAGTATTGTCACCCCACTACCCCTCGACCCCCCACCCGCCACCCCCCAACTCGCCCCCTCTTCACCCACCTCCGGGGCTGGATTCACCACTTCCTCTTCTCTGTTCTACCTGCTTCCGGCAAGAGCCCCCAGGCCATCACCTTGTGAAGCACAATCAGCTTTCATTTTCTCCTGGAAGTGTTGCTAGCAGGTCAGGTGGCTCTCATGTGCACAGACATGAAGGCGGATGCAGGTATTCTGAACAGGATAATGCATTTTTTTAAAATCTCGAAACAAATCAAATTTTCTCCTGATTTCTCAAGAATCAAACCTCTGCCGCTGCCTGTATTGTACGTAAGTCAATCCGGGTGAGCGGGGGTTATAAATAGTGAATTATAATATCCCTCATCCTTGTACACATGAGAGGTGGAGCTGCCCTGCAACTGGACACTGATATAAAACCTTGATGGTTGTAAAAGAATGTAGTTAAAACAAGTGCGGTCGGCTTCTACACGGCTTCTGTGGGCCGACAGATTTAGACGTGATAGACGGGCACATCAGCAGATGTCTTAACATGTCTTCATTAACAGTATCACCGCGACGCTCCATTAAAACAGATGATATTTTGTGCGAGGGGAAGAGGTGGCGGTGATTTTTAGATTGTGGGAATGACACCATGAAATTATTAACTGGCTGAAAATAAAACTGAAACCTGTAAAAGAGCCTGGTTGTATTCAGTCTGTCGTTAATGACACTTTGGATTCCTGGCCTGACATTAAAGGCCTCAGTATGCATCAGATGCAGTGTTAGGGGTTAGACATGTGCTGTGTCTCAAATTGGATACCTCAGTCAGTACACTCGCATGACGCAGTGTGTGAATTTCGACTGGGTAGTGTTATCTTGAATCAGAGTCTGCTTTGCTCACTTGACTTGAAAATAAATGTTTTACTTTCCTGTGTTTGCCCCCTGTGTTATGCGACATGTAGATTACACCGCCACTGGCCCTGACAACCTGTCCTCCTTCCTTGGTCGCCAAGTTTGGGGTTTGAGTTTTGGTCCCTCCCCTTCCGCTACGTATCTAAGATGGCGACCGCTGAGGACGAGAAGCGTCCATCGCTTTACACTCGATTTTTCGACCGTTTTGAGTGCTACTTATAGTGCACTGCATGTTGCCATACTTGTCGATGTGAACGCACTTGTGCAATCAAAATAGCAAGTGTAAGTATGGAAGTACGTGAATTGAGACACAGCAAGGCACTCTCCCTCACTCCCTTGTGTGTTTGTCCGTTCCTGGTTTTGTCTTTTTTCCCTGCCTGTGTGTGTGTGTGTGTGTGTGTGCGCGTCTCTGCTGGGTGTGGCTTCCAATTCACCTCAGCACCTGCGACTCATCAGCCAATCACCTCTACAGCCTGCTGCAGTGTTTAAACACCAGCTCTACCCATCAGTCTCTGCTAAAGCGTTGAGTCTCCCTTGTGGTGCAGACGCTCCGGCCTCCCCTCTGAACCTTTTGCATTCCTCACGCTACTTCTGTCGCTTTCTGTGTGCACAACCGAGACTGTCTAAAAGTGTTCGCCGCTGTCCTCACTGTACGATACATCGTCTCATGTCCTTCTCTACGTAAACCCTGCCCTTCTAGAAATTATATTTAGTTACTACTAAACTGTTTTCCCAATGACACCATCGTGACAAACATAATTATGGTCTGGATTAGGTTCACGGGCAACATTTTTTTTGGATTGCTTAAATGTTATGAAATGTTATCTTGGCTCATTTTTGACACTGATACCGATCAATCACGGTTTGAATGCCCCAGCCTCTCAAAGTATTGCTGCTGACCATATTCATCCCTTTATGGCCACAGTTTACCGTCTTCTAATGGCAACTTCTAAGCATGATAATGCACCATGTCACAAAGCAAAGGTTGTCTCAAACTGGTGTCACGGACTTCAGTGGCTTCCCCAGTCTTCACATCTGAATCCATTAGAACAGGAGATTGGCAGCATGAATGTGGAGATACCAAATCTGCAGAAATGATGTGATACAGTCATGTCAGCATGGAGCAGAATCTCAAAGGAAAGTTTCCAACATCTTGCGGAATCAACGACACGAAGAACCGAGGCTGTTTAAGAGCAAAGGGAGGAACTACCCAGTGTTAATATGGTGTTTATAGTAAAGTGTTTGGTGAGTGTACATTCACAGAGTGGCCAGAAACACGACTCCAAATGAATGATAATGTTGCTCTGCGGCTGCTGGGCGCTTTGCCAACAAGTTCACCATAACAACGACCGTGGTCACGGTAAAAACGGAGCACTGTTCAAAGTTTTACTGACCCATCCATCCACCCCGGCTTCCTCCTTCTGCGGACTGTGGCTCTACACCATCACACTGCTTCCTCCCTTGCTCTGCTACAGCCACCAGAAGTCTTTCTCACTTCTGCTTAAACATGTGTCATTTTGGAGCATTTTCTTGAACGACTGATGCTCTAGTTTTTCTTGGGACAATCTTTCTCCTTTAGATGTCTTTGGATGAGACTTGACCCTT